TTATTGGGTGGACCTGTCTTTGTAGTGCATGTTGCGTTACTTGTATTTCTTGTGTTTCTTTGTTCTTGAGGTTGTATTTGTGTGGTTGCTTGGGTTATTGGTGGAGACGTTACAGTACTTTGTGAGCCTGTAGTGCTGTTAAGGTTGTTGCGTTTGGGTTGAGTACGAGTGGGTTGTGATAACGTGGTGTGTTTCTGAGAAGAAAGAGTATTGTGTTTTTTAGCTGTGCTAGGCCGTGTAACTTTATTGGGTGAGGGCGTCTTTGTAGTGCATGTTGCGTTACTTGTATTTATTGCGTTTGTTTGTTCAGGAAGTTGTGTTTGTGTGGTTGGTTGAGTTAAGGGTGGAGATATTACAGTATGTTTTGTGTCATGTTGTGAGTCTAAAGTGCTGTTTAGGCTTTTGCGTTTGGGTTGAATACTAATGGGTCGTGATAATTTGGTTTGCTTCAGAGGTGAATCTCTGATTGTAGTATATGTTGTATCATTTGTTGTACTTGTTTGCTCGGTAAGTTGTATTTGTGTGTTTGTTTGGGTTAGAGGTTGAGATATTACAGTATGTTGTGTACCGTGTTGTGAGCGAGTACTGTTGTTTACATGTATACGTTGTGGATCATTTGTGTATGTAGTATCTTGTGTTATGTTTAGAAATTTACGAACAATATGGCATGTGTTGATAATGACTGCTTTTTGTAAATGTTTGTATGTGTTTTTGTCTAAACCTAATTGTTGTAAATTGTGGTGTATTGTCTTTGGTATAACTCCAGTAGCACTAAGAATAATGGGAACTATAACAGTAGATTTCATTCTCCATTGCGTCTTAAGCTCGATAGCTATATCGGTGTATTTGCGGTGTTTTTTTGCATGTGTTTTAGTTAAGTTGTTAGTGTTGGGTATGGCAATGTCTATAATACAAATGGATTTTTGTGTTTTATCTATAAGTGTAATATCTGGTCTATTATTGTGGATAGTTTTGTCTGTGAGTAGTGTCCTGTCCCAATATAATTTGTGTGTGTTGTTTTCAAGTATGATCTGTGGCGTGTATTTGTAGTATGGTGTCGTATCTGTTATGAGATTGTGTTTAAGTGCTAATTTTTGATGTATGATTTTAGCTACCTGATCATGTCGATGTTTGTATTCAGTTTGTGCGAGTCGTGTGCATGCCGATATTATATGTTGGATTGTTTCTGATGTTTGTGAACAGAGTCGGCAAGAATCATTTGTCACTGTTTTGTCTTTATGTATGTGTTTTTTATAGTTACGTGTGTTAATGACCTGGTCTTGTATTGCTAACATGAAACCCTCAGTCTCCGGGAAGATATCACATTCAGACAACCAACTGTGCGTTGCTATAGAATCAACACAACCCTGGCTAACCTCTTGTGGAAATCGTCCATGTAAAGGCTTTTGGTTCCATATTTGTATGTTATTTGTGATGTAAGTTTGGATGTGGGTGGGAGTATATTAGTTTCGTGTAGATTAAGTGGTGTGTAAGATTTATCTGCATATGTTACTGTTTTGTGTAAAACTGAAGTATCTGATTTGTTATAAAAGTATTGTCGTAAATTGTGTATTTGTGTTTGGTGCAATAGTTTTATGTCTGTAAGTCCTCTCCCTCCTTCCGAACGAGGAAGGTAAAGTCGTATAGTAGAGGAGTGAGGGTGATGTATATGGTGTTTTGTTAATAGTGTACGTGTGTTTCTCTGTATTTGTTCTAAATCTGTATTTGTCCAACGTATAATCCCAAAAGAGTATGTAAGCACTGGTGTGGCATAAGTGTTAATAGCCTTGATTGTATTTCCACCGTGTAATTTTGTTTTAAGTATACTGCGTACTCTTTGTAGGTATTGTGTAATAAGTGTTTGTTTTATACTCGTATGTTTAATGTGTGTGTTTTGCTGAAAACCAAGATACTTATAAGTTTCATTCTCGTCCATGGAATTTATTAAATTACCCTGTTACTTATTATTATTATTATTACTTATTATTATTATTATTATTATTATTATTATTATTATTATTATTATCTTACATCCAAGCTTCGCCGACGCATTTTTTGGGGATTTATCTTACAAGTTTAAGGCCATTTACGGTATGTTATCAATTACGCATTATCTTGTTACTTTGAATAACCATTTTTAGGCTGCTTCTACCTTCTTACTTCTTACTTTGGATTTACTCATTGATTTCTGATTATCTATCTGATTGTGCTGTCAACAACGATATTTTTAAGTAGAAACGCCGAATGAAGGACAATTCTACTGAAATTTAAACGCCATTACAAGTCAAAAACACCATACATATTTCTACCTTATACTCTGAAGAATTTCCCGCCATTTCAAGCGAAATTAAACAACCGAATTGGACTGGTGACCTAATTATACGAAGTTCGTTGACCTACGTTCCGATTGTTACTCCGAAACCTTAATCGCAAGTAGGTATCTATATAACTTTGGTACTGTGTAAATTGTTCGTATAATACCCCATTACTACGTTTTAGTTTTGTCATTACCGAAGTTATTTGAAATTTGTAATTACCTATTTAACGTTAACGTTATTTTGACACGTTTTTTATTGTTTTCTTAGGCTATTGATTTCGACCTATTGTGGTCATCCTCAGGCCGAGCGTCATAAAATTAAAAGCAATGAAAAGTGGTTTGATGTAATGATATTAGCTGAATTTCCACAGGAAAGAAATATTTGAAGGTGTTAATAGGGGTTATGTAGTAAATTAGTATTTAGCGAATGCTTTTACTCATTTGAGGTGTAAGGTTTCAGTCTACAATTTCGGTAGAAGTGACGGTCTGCCGCCTTACATTCTACCCAAATTCACTCAGTCTCATACCGAAATTGAACATCACCATAAATTGAAATTAAGAAAACTACAATCAATTAGTTTATTGCAGATTTGTATAACACACAGTTGGCCGATTCTAAACAAAAATGAAATGAACTGCTTTGGTTATAATAATAGAGGCATCGTAATAGCGATTTATATATCAAGTACATAAACTGGGTCTTTATGGACGAGCCGTTTATTTAGCCGAGCGAGCTTGCGACCGAGGCACAAATAAACAAGGCGAGTCCCCATAAAGTCTATTTATAGACGCGATATATACAAAGCTTTATGTACGACTGCAATAACCCTTAAAAATGAAAATTTCATGGAATTCAATAAACGATAAAATCTATATATCTTTGACAACAGACGTCAAGCATTTGTCAAATACTTGAATTTACCTTGGAATGACACCTAGGTACGACTGTCACATTGACAGGCGGCCGTTTTACTTTATCATTATGGACTAGGCCATAATATTGCAAATTATAGACACTAATTGCGACTGCAATCACCGCATTATCAAGCAGTCGTACATAAAATAAATTATGCTATTCGAAAATTCAAATTTTTCCATTTTATTATTTCTAATTACCTAAATTCCAAAACAAATGAGTTAGGCCTATTATTATTAATGTTCTGAACTTTCCAGCGTAATTCCCCCTGTTTCTTCTTTTGTTTAAAGTATCTTCCGCCTTTATAATAAACTTAAAAACTTTAAATGATTGTGCTTCCTTTAATTTGAATTTACTGCTGGTTAAAAGTGTTTCTTTTATACAGAATTCCATTTACTTTCAAAATATGTAAAAATATGCAATTGAAAAAGGTTGCTTTATTGACTATCTTGATATAACCCTATGTGCAATTGTTTTTTTAATTCTCCCAACGCGATCGCGAGAAAAAATGCTAATTTAACTAATTTCGTAGCTGCAATAATTACAAAGTTAGCAATAGGCACGACTTCGTTTTGAACACATTTTATAGTGTACGCTTTTGTTCTACTATTACATCGTACCTACAACCTTCTATAGACTTCCAGGCAAAGTAGGTACAATAGAAAATTATTATACCTACGGAAAGTTATAATTGAAGATCAATAGCAAACTTCAATTCGGTACAAAGATCGGTAAGGGTAACTGCTGTAGGTAATAGGGCTGATACCAACGTTTATACTGCTCACCTACCGACTGGCACACGGTTGCGCTTAAATCAATGCCGTGTTAGCGTATAAATTTGAAAATGCTTTAATGATGTATGTCTTTAAGAGACCAGTCAATTGAGAAGTAACCGAAAACCAGCCGTTGGTACAGAAGAGAATACATTAGGTAGGTATTCAATTCAATCTTCTACCACTGTACAACATGTACCTATACAAGAAAAAATTTGGAATGTGACTAAATGTAGTACAAAAAGAGTACAAACGAATCCACCATTCAAACCAGAAAAACACGAATCGAGAAAATGAATAATTTACCATTTCATACGCCATATTCACCCTCTAAACATTGCTTCATTCTTAATGGTCGATTAGTTAGATATATGACACCATTCGTAAAATGGATTAACATCGAGATGTGACGTAATGATTCAAAGGAAAGCGTCCAACAAGAAAATGTGATCTTTTCTATTCCAATTATTTAATGTAAGGTGTGCTTTATTCTTCAATAATCAAGATCTAACATATTAATTTCCTTCTTGGTTATTTCAGCCGAAACAATATCTCCAGCAAAAGAATTTAGCAGCTGATGGGAGTGGAAACTCTAGCTTTAATCCTGAACCGAAGCTACTTTTAACTTTTACCCTCGTAGTCACGCTCGTAGTGAATATTTCAATAAATGAACACTACATTAAGACCTACGACAAGATAGTCTCACTCGCGAAAGGTTGCCTATGCGACACTCGATGGCCACATATATAAATTAAAAGATGTATACTGTGTAGTGTGTTTGTTGATCATTTTTTCCATAAATATAGATATTTGTTTAACTTGCCACTATGCCGACAAACTCTATGAATATAAGTAATATAATTATTATGCATTTCAATCACACGATGGTTGAATGTATGCAATATAAAACCACAGATTTATTTAAATCTGTAATAAAACTGAGGAAACCACAGCACTAAACGATTATTGACACATGTGACATGATGTAACTTACCAGTATCGAAACTCGTTGTTACGCCATCTGCAAAAAAATTTAATATTAATCCGTTGTGAAACTCAGTTTCCAATATATTCGGCGAACGTATTCTTTTATACTACTATTTGACTACAAATGAAAGAAAACAAAGAAGTTTACAATATGAATAGTGCTGCTTTCGAAGTTAGTTGACAAGTTTGCTTTTAAATTTGCTGTAAAATAAAAACTCGCGAGTGGCGATTAAAGCACATTCTGGAAACCTTTCAGATTGCGGAAATTGGTCAGTCAAGCGTGAATCAAATGACCGGCGCCGCAGCGTTCATTTGATATTAGCGTAGCGGATTGGACGACTTCAGTTAGTTTATCGTGCATGCACGCCTTATCTGTTATTTTATCTCAGCTGGGGCACTACAGCTTTTTATGTACAGGGTGTCCCATTAATAATGGTCACAGGCCGTATCTATGGAACCGTTAATTGCACAGTTTCGGGAAAAAAATTTTGTTAACAAAAGGGGGTAAGAGAAATCGCTGGAAATTATTTTCAAGTTTCTACCTTCGCCGCTAGAGGGCGTACGATTCATTGTTAAGTAGAAAAATGACTTTTTTTCTAAAATATACCCAACAAACATGCATAAAAAATACATGCATAGCAAACTTGTATCAATTTTGCATCATTTTGATGCAGCACATATTGCTCTAGCTCATAAAATATGAGGGCTAGGGGAAGGGGAACATCTATTTAAGAAATCGAATGGTAACTTCGGTTTAGGTTAACCGATTTTCACAGAATAGGTCTTGTTGGAAAGAGCTGTCTTCGTGGAATCAGATTTTACACTAATAGAGTCTTTTTATTAAATGTGATGAGTGGTAGAGGGCGCGATATGACATTAACATAAACTTTGCAGGGTTTTTTAAAAATTTCAAATAGAACAATATAATTATTATATGATATTATCAAATAAGATGAAAAAGTGAAAATATCAGTGAAAACCGCATTTTGATATCTGTTTCCTAAACAGAGATATGGCGAAAATGCGAATATTCACAAATTTTAATTGCAATATTTATATTCATCTAAGTTGGATTTGAACTTAGATGAATATAAATATTGCAATTAAAATTTGTGAATATTCGCATTTTCGCCATATCTCTGTTTAGGAAACAGATATCAAAATGCGGTTTTCACTGATATTTTCACTTTTTCATTTTATTTGATAATATCATATAATAATTATATCGTTCCATTTGAAATTTTCAAAAAAACCTGCAAAGTTTATGTTAATGTCACATCGCGCCCTCTACCACTCATCACATTTACTAAAAAGACTCTATTAGTGTAAAATCTGATTCCACGAAGACAGCTCTTTCCAACAAGACCTATTATGGGAAAATCGGTTAACCTAAACCGAAGTTTCATTCAATTCCTTAAATAGATGTTCCCCTACCCCTCATATTTTATGAGCTAGAGCAATATGTGCTGCATCAAAATGATGCAAAATTGATGCAAGATTGCTATGCATGTATTTTTTATGCATGTTTGTTGGGTATATTTTAGAAAAAAGGTCATTTTTCTACTTAACAATGAATCGTACGCCCTCTAGCGGCGAAGGTAGAAACTTGAAAATAATTTCCAGCGATTTCTCTTGGCCCCTTTTGTTAACAAAATTTTTTTCCTGAAACTGTGCAATTAACGGTTCCATAGATATGGCCTGTGACCATTATTATTGGGACACCCTGTACGTTACATGGCCATTTTAATTCTGATCGACACTTTTACTTCCATTGCGCTAGGCTAGATGATACATAGTTTTGAACTAAAGTGTACCACGCTACAAAAGGGGAACGTGGTCTTATGTTTTACGGTTATGTCTAGAGTACTGGAGCGAATATTCTAGAAATCCCGATAGCCATCGAGGCGCCATGAAAGATTAGTCATCGGTGATAAGAAACTTAGGCGAATTATTTCCGAGAAATATGACGTATTTGTCATTCGGAAGCGTTCGAGAGCACTGGAGAACGTTCTACAAATATTATTTTCTAACCGTATTGTGTTTCGACTCAGTTTCAACATCGATGCCGATAGTAAAATATCACTGATAAATAGGTACCTAATTGTAAATAAATAAATCACGTATTTAGATTTACGTTACCCTGCTGTCAGGTGGTCAGGCGTGGGGTGTGTTAAGTGAACAATTAGTGAAAGTTAATGTTAGTGGTGACCAAATCTACGTCCGGAAAAATGGAGCAACTTCTACAATGGATTAGGTTTTGTTGGTTTCGCGATCGAGCGGAAACCATACCTATGCGTTTCGTATGGCCGCCTTTTGAGCATAAACCAGCGTTCGGAAACACCGAGCTTAAAAAAAGTAACCAGTTCAAAGCGACAATTAGTGTCCAGTTTTTGACCCAGTAGTTACGGAGGATCATCATTTGTCCTAATGGAAAAGTTGCGTAAAAGTCGAAGTTCCATTTTGGATTATTATAAAAAGTGCATTATCGTTTTCCCGACACTTAGCGATATTTACGGGCACGCATCGCACTCGATAGTCTGCCAAAAAGATATCAGTTCACCAAAGGATTAAGTGCTATAAAGTTACACTGTTGAGTGAAGAAATTAGGGTGAAACGCAACCACCCTAAGACAGGTAGTAGTCACTTTCATCTACCGACAGGATCTGAGTAAATCTCCGATCCTGCGTTGGCGACAATTTCTAGTATATGTATTGCGCCTCTATCTCGATTCCTTAACTCGACGGTTACGCCAAAAGATATTTGTGCATTCCTGTCTATATAGAAGTAAAAAACAATTTCAAGATCGTGTTATTGCAGTTAGCAAAAGACCAGAATCCATCATCCGAAACAAACACGCTTGTCGGCGCATTCCATACCAACGTCACGACGTTCGACGAAGCGCCACAACGTAAAAAGAAAGTTAATCTCATTTCTTGCGTAAAACGTAATTATGATAAAGAAAACTGTTGGTAAATTCAGTTCATTTTTGTGCCGCTAAGCAATTAGTGAAAAGTTTACTAGAGGGATTTCCTAAACATTAAACTAAATTTCAATAACGGCCCGTTTAAGTTGAGCTTGTGTCAAGCCTCATTTTTTCTAACCAAATTTGTACTGACCAGAAGAATTCATAACCGGAACCTGCTCATATTTCTCAATTCATAATCAGTCTTCCAATCAAAAGAGCTGTTGTTGGAGATTATTTCATGTCGTGGGGTTTTAAGGATGTATCAAATTGAGGCCACCTGATAACGACCTCAGGAGACTGATACAGCCGATTATCTCCAAGAATTCCAGAGTGGCCATCGAGGAAGAAATGTAAACCGAAAGGTTAGTTATAACATTTTTGTATTCTGCTGTAAAGATCACTCGACAACTTTACGATCCTTTGAAAAAAAAAACAATCTTCACCCGTTGTAACATTTCAATTAAAACTTGAATAAGAGATCAGAACGTGGTTGATAATTAAAAAAAATATTGTTTTGCTTATGTGTATTACATTAATCAAAAGCGTTGTTCTCGTAACCCAAAACCTCGAAATATACGTAATATACCTTGGGCCAAAACCAAAACCGAATCAATCCCAAAAATCTCCCCGTAAGGATCCCCAAAACCCAGAAAATGGTTTCTTATCTTTAAGGATCTTTACTTGCCGATTCCTTTTGTGTAAAATAGGTATGCCAGATGCGCTTGAACGGAATGGTGTAGTTGAACGACTGAACCGCATCCTTATGGAATGTACAACATCAATGTTATTTGCATTAAATTTAGAGAAAAGCTTTGGGCTGAAGCAATCAATACTAATCGATATCCAGCTAGGGCAGGGAAAAATTCAACACCAAAGAGGCATGGGGCACCTAATTCTAAAAAGTATAGAACATTCTGCTCCAGAGCCTTCATTCAGATTCCGAGATCAAGCGGGACCATTTGACCCGAAAGCATACGAATTGTGAAGGTAGCCAAAAATTTATACCTACTCCGAAAAAAAAAATTCCAGTGCGTGACGTAAATTCTTCTACAAGATCAAAAGGAAATATAATCACAGAAAGTGAGATATAATTCATTAGCAGAAAGCAATACAGTTCAACCTGCAGTAATTGAAATCCGCTATACTACTACATTAGAATCACAAATTACTGATGAATCTGATAATACCTTAATTAATTCAACACTGGATGAATGTATGGAGAATAATGACGGAAATTTATATCTAAAACGTGAGTAAACCATCTAAATTTATGTTTTGAAGATTTGTAGGTATACGAGTATAACCAAGTGAAGCCTTCGCACCAGTTCTACCAGTGAGAAGCATTGGAAAGAGACTATACAGGAAAGTGGAGAATGGCAATGGCAAAAGAAAGGAACAGGTTATGATGAGACATTCTCTCCGCAGTTATTTGTTCAAATTCTGTTCTTATTCGGCTGATGTTACCACAGGCTTTTTACATCCAAAGCTTGATGGGTAAGTTTATATAGGTACTTACATATAAAACTTCCAAACGATCAAATTAATCGAATCGGTGTATGGTTTGAAACAAACCAGTCGTCTATGATGACCTCAAATTGTCTAAAGTACCTAAGAATCTTAAGGTGAAGAGAACATTTTCGAATGAAAGATTTAGGTGCATTAATTCTCTATTTCCAAAAGATGAAGTAGATCGTGTAACGGCGCAATACCACGTATAATGTAGTAAATGTTGATTATTGCAGTGATCTGAACATTTCATTTCCTCAATTTGAATTTACGGCAATAGTATCAACAGGCCAATAGCAAACCACATTTCACCAGAGAGTCCTGTGTGTAATCAATACCTATACCAAATGCTCTAACACAATCGTTTATTTTACTCATCTGTGACAAATTGTGACGACCGTTTTATTCCCCGAAGTGAACAACAGGAAATTGCACGTAATACGAGCTTCATTTAAGATAAATTGTTTTCTTCATTTCAAAATCCAGCACCATTAATGAGTTCATACAATGATGGATTTAAGTCATAAATTTGAATGTAGCAAATTGGTAAGACGACACGTTGA